TATGGCATACATAATCCTGGTTATTGTTACTCTCATTATTAAAAGAAATGACAGTATATATTTGTGTTGGTTTCTCAACAAGTGTTCTAATAAATTTTGGAGGTAAATATTTAAAAATAAATATATAAAAATGGTCTAAATTTTCCACAACTAAATTATTTGTTTCAATCTTTTAGACTTCATTAAGGCTATTACCATCAACATAGCTAGGAATTATTCCATTGTCTACAATTAAGTAATAAATTTAAAGTTGAAATTTTAAATTAATAATTATTATGAAAATTCATGGAAAAAATGATTAATTACCATATCACATTAATAATAATTTATCATTTTTTTTAAATCTAATATATTATTTATTTCTTTGAAAAAAGAAAAATTAATATCTTAATTATTGAAAAATCTCTCAAAATTTATACTAAATAAAATGAAAAATTGATTACTTATTTCTTATTTTCGGAGAGATAAAGTAAATCAATTTGAAGAAATTAAGAACCAACAAGTTAAGATCATGCTTACGTAGAAGTTTAAAAGGAAATTCAGAGAGTCTTTTAGAATATCAAAATTGAACTAATTAATGGTATTGTTGGTAATACAACTAAATGGATGAGTTAGTTAGACAATTTTAGAGCACGATGAATAGGTTTCGAGTATTAGTTTGAGTCCATCATAAAGCAATTTGATTTCATGTGGAAATGATAGAATTATTCTAGTATCAGAAAGTTATAAGAAGGAGAATTTTTGGATAATAGTATAATGGATAAATGTAGAAATTAGAGGATATAGAATTTCAACTCTTTTGTATTTAATCAAGAATTTCAAATTTGATGAATGTAGAATTTATTGAATTCTACTAAATGAAATACTCATATTGATTATTAAAAAAATCATAATTAAATGATGAAATATGGTAAATATTATATGTTTGATAATTGAATTTTAATTTTGAATAATGCATTGGTATGCTATAAAAAAATTTATAATCTGAAAATGAGTTAAATATTTTAAAATTACATATTTTTAATAAAACTCATTATTAAATACCTTATTGCACCTAATTTCGCACAATAAAAGGTTTTATAATTAATTCGTAACATGAAGCTAAAAGCATCTTTCTAATTCATATAATAGGTCAATTAGATCTATTAATTAAAAAATAATCTTAATATTAAAAATTGTGTTTATTATGTATTAGAACCATTTTATATGTCTTAATGAGCTATACCTATGATTATATTTATCTATGATTTAAGAGGAAAAACTGATAAAAATAGAAATATATAATAAATTAAGACCCTAATAAAACATAGTAAATTAATTTTATTTCGAAGACTATAAATGAAACCTCAAGAATTAATTAATCAAAATGAATAGGTAAGAATTTAACTTCATCAAAAATAAGAACTGAGGATTCACATTTCCAATACTAAAGGAATGCATAATTTAAATCTTCAATTTTCTAATATTTTGAAGTCAGTAAGAAGCTTTTAAAAACATATTGATTAATCAGTCACTAGAACTCTGTAGCAACAAAGCTTACCTGGCTTAATAATTTGTTAATGTCAAGGAAGAAGGAATTTTAGAAATGTCTTTAGAAGATAGGTAGAAAAAGAAAAAGAATATCTGAGGAGTTTATAGGAATTATATAATAGTAGAAATATTCTTATTATTTAAGGAAATTCAAAAATTTGCAGTGATTTCAGCCGCCATTAATTAAAGATCAATATAATAATTTAAATTTCTTACACTTCAGTAAATTTAAGAAATATATTATATTGGAAGTTTTATTTTAATGCAAACTAGAAATTTAATTGAAGATACGATTTTATACTTTTTTTAGAGGCAATATTATTTTTTAGTTTTAATTTAGAATATTTAATATACAGAAAAGAAGATAACATTATGATGGTTGGCATCTTTATTTATTGTAAATCTTATCTTTGAAACAGCTTAATAAATTTCATTTATATATTAATAATCTCCTTTTGTAATTTGGTACTTATAATTATAAAATATTATTAATTTTTGCTAAATCTAAATTAATTACTTTTCTTTTTCTTTCCCATATTTATTATCCTACACGATGTTAAATTAATGAATAAGCTTAAAAAAGATTTCCATTTAAAGTATCTTCTGCTAATAATATTTTCACCTATAGATATTTATAATTCTTAATTAATTTAATTATTCTATCTATTTATACATCAGTAATTGAAATTATCACCTCACTTCTTTTTTTTTTATTTATTTATTTATAATGATGAAATACTACTCAAGGATAATAACACTCAAATTAATATGATTATTCTCTCAATGAACTTAATTTATTATTTTCTTATTTTCTTCCTATTTTTAAATTCGTAATCATTTGAAACTAGATTAGGTAGTAGTTTATTTTCAATTTTGTAAATTTCTACATTAAAAAAATAACTTAGTTTTTTTGTGATGAAGGAAAGAATAAAATTATACTGGAGAGTCAATGATTAGACCTGACGATTATCCTTATATGGAATAGGTATTTTTCGAGTAAGCCTTTCTTAAATGCAATCCAATGTATGAAGCTGATGAAAAAATTATTAAACAATGGAAACTAAAAGTTTAGTTAAAATGGGAAATTCGATATTAATTTCTTCATCTAGGCGCATATCCTTTAAGAACCATTAAATTCTTAATAAGCTTAAACTCTCCAATCTTAAACTAAATCAGTTTGACACTTTGCTTATGAACTACAATATGGACATTAATAATATTTTTTTTTTTTCA